TAGAAACATTGTAACATTGATAAATTTCATTAAAATAATGGTAACATATTGAAATTAAATTAAAGAATAACATTAAAATATAACATTTTTATTTTTCACTCTCATATTAGAAAGTTCCATTTTGGCTACTTATTATACAATATTTTGAATCTGAAAAATAAACAAGGTATAATGCTATAAAGCACAATTTACAAAACAGTTCTTAGCAAAAGCAAAATAGCTATGTAATTAATTGAAAATGTCTTCTTTTTAATTTTTTTATGGTAAGAGATTTTCCCATGTAATTGTCTCAGAATATGCATCAGTTTTCTCTATAAAATTAATTTTACACTTTTTCCCTCTGATTTTTTTTTTTTTTTTTTTTCCCCAAAGTATGTCTGTCTTTTTGCTGTTGCACAATTGGTAGGGGTTATTTTTCTTTAGGATTTTAGACATTGCAACTTTGAAAGTTTAGAAGGATTTGAAGGCAATATTAGAAGGATTTGAAGGCATGATTCTAGAAGATTCCAGAAGAATGTGACAAAATGAAAAATGTCTTCATGGTATTAACACGTAATGAATGTATATTACAGATGTGATGAATTTCTTATGTTTTGGAGAATTTTTGGAAGAATAAGAAAAACATAATATTTGAATGTTTTACTTCTGATACTAGAAATCATTTTTTGAACATGTTTATCTTTCCTTTATTTTTTCTCCTTTTCACTAAGCACAAGCGTTAAAAATACCACAAATATTTCTAATCTTATCACATGGACAGGTATTTGTAGAAAGGAATTTTTATAGTAATAAAGAAATTAAAAACTGGCAATTGAAAAGATTCATCTTAAGGTCTCAGTCCATCACACATAGGGCACGGTGACCAGACAAAAGCGTGTGATGTAAACAGATCATGTTTGCAAACACGCCCTAAAAGAACATCATCTACATCACGCCTTTATCTACTGAAATATGTAATGTCCTGAAACATGATGCCTATACCTATTACAATAAATAACGCCATAAAACATGCACCTGAACAACTATGTATCGCTATATGTATCATGTAATGTAATGCATTTTACTTGATCTAATGTAACGCTCGTGTGCAATTGGCAGTTTGGCTGGAGTCCCCTTTCATCATGACTCAAGGCCCCCGGAAGGTTGTTGTTTTTTAGTCGTGTGTCTTGCTAATGTCTATCTCTTCAATAAAAGGTGCCCTTCACTTCTATGTAACATAACACACAAGCATGTCTTATGTTAGGCACAAGGTGTGCTCTTGTCAATAGGGACTCTTGGGAAAGGTTCAACCTTATGCGAACACTTTGTTGGACGAAACTTTGACACTCGGTGACTCTGTTGACTAGTGAGAATCACTAGCAATTTTACATAAGGTCACTGACAATTGTTATGCTCTCGTGAACGATTACCTTATAACTTGTTTGTTATCCATTCTTGAAGCTAACATTCAAACATTAACATTAAATAAAATTCTGTGTTTTACCGGGGTTAGTTTCATAAAAAAATTTATATTGATTTCAAAAGAGGAAAAAATTTTGAGCATTCGTTGAGATAAGCATAGTTGAAATAAGCAGCATGTATAACAACTTACATATATTACGTTCTAAAAGTGAAAACATTTTTTAGATTGGTAGAACATATCTCATCTAAGACTTAATCTTTTTTTTTTTTTTTTTTCTCCAATTCGCAAAACTTTCTAGACAGTGTTCCTTTGAAAATAAATCTGAGAAAAAGTTCAAATATCGGAAAAAAATAAATAATTAGTTAGATGAATAAAAATTAATAAAAAATGGAATAAAAGCTTTACATTAAAAAAAAAAAAAAGCGTCAGTCATCCAATTCTTAAGCTTTTCATGTTCATAAATTCTGCTCCCAGTGCCTGTCCTTAATTCTAAAGTTTTGCCATTTCTAGATTTTTGTTGCTCGGTGTGTCGCTAAATTCTAAACATTCTGTTACACCGTCTGTGTAACTGGCCACAGTAGCTCTGAAACCAGCCCTTATCATATATTCATATTTCTTCTCAGTGTTCATATTAGGAAAGAAATAAAATTAGTAGCTTTTTCTGTAAATTCTAAATGCATTTAGTTTTTTATGTAAATTAACCAGTTGTTTATAATTTCAGCCTTTCCTGTAACTTACTTCCCCACCAGAATGCAAATCATTTAGATAGTTTTTAAATTGAGATTTTTGAATTGTAAGACATTGGCCTCTGCTTGCACGCTGCATTAGTTCCTGCCAGCTGTGATAATTTGTAATTATTCATCTGTGCGTTATCGTTGTCAACATTTAATTTGTTATGACAGTAAGAAATACTAAACCATTTTAGATTAAGATTAAATTGTGTAGTCTTTGACTACTAGTCGACGGTTTTAGTTTGAATTTGACTGTTCCTGTTTAATTACATCACCACGGGCTTTAGTGTATTTTGTTACGATAAGATCATGCCTTTATGTTCTAAGTTCTTTTTAACTAAGAGACTTATTTAAACCTTTATCTGACTGTGTAGTTACTTTCAGACATAACAATAATTTGTTTCACGTCTGCCAGGGTTTGAGACTATTTAACTTTTACCAGATCAATGAAAACCTCATTAGATACATCATCAGAAGATTGACAAGTTAGGAGATAAAGCACTCAGAAACTAGTGGGTACACTGGTTTGCATATTGAAACAAATTTCTAATTGTTAGAAAAGATGCTTAAAGAGAAGGAAATTAATATAAATTAGCCTGAATTTCTAGGAAGGATTTAAATAAAAAAAGGTGCATAAATATTTTGTCAAGTGTTGTTGCTACAAAATATAAATGATTTGTAGCTTTTAATGTGTAATTATCATATTATTGTTTAAGAATCAATGTCATAAATTGCATGAATTTTAAACTGTAAAATGGTATTAGATTGTGGTTTTAATAGTGCTTTTCTTTGTAAAAAAATATTTTAAAAAAATAAAATTTAACAGTGACCATGCAAATCTGTTGTGACTAAGGGTATCTAACTACTTAATTTAATTATTTTTAACTAACTGCTCACCCTTAAAAGTCACTGCTGCAGGTTAAAGCTGGTTATTGCCTTTCATTATCCTTACCATGGTCACAAGATATAGCAAGCAAATGTAAAAATTAATGTAAAACTTATTCTTTGCAGCTAGTGAGACTTAAAATAATAGAAAACAACTTATCACCTCTGGTTCTATAGGAGCTTATTGGAATCTTAAAGTATATTAATTGGGTTACAACCCTAGGAACTCTACATGAAGCTATTATGCCAACTGCATCAGACAGTTAGAGCGTACAGTTTTCTGTTACCAGTCATGCTGACTATGATTTTACTTCTCATTTTAACCTTGCCTTTTGACATAATCAACCTGCCTATTCACTAAATCTCTAGACTGAGCCACATTGACAAAATGAGACATAACGAAAGTAAACATAAAAGTTAGTAAAACTTAATAAATGTCACTAATTTCTTTCAAATATGTCCAACTATTTGTTAATATTTAATGGCTTGATAAATTTTTAAAGTTGATTTTTTTTAAATTTGTGTTATTACCTATTGACGGCAATAAGCGCCCCTATTTGAGGGCCACACACAAGGGAAATTTCAATAGTCTGCGCGAGAGCAAATACCCAATCCTTAAAGTGTGGTTTCTTTTAGTTCTACGTTCTAAAAGCCAGAACAATCATTGAATGCATTACTAACATATTTATAAGGAAATTCACAAACGGCAAGCTATTTTGAACATGATATTAAATTTCAATAATAAAAATGAATGAATGGCAGCAATCAAACCTAATAAAAAGAGCAGAAACAACAAAACAAGATTCAGGAAAACGTTTCCTATCATGAAATTATACTTAATCATTTCAAACCCCTAAATCCTTTTCACTATCATCATCATCGAAAACGAGATTCTCATCACTACTGTGTCATCATAGCTAGTTCACCTCTTCGAAATGCGTTTCTCTGTCCTCAAGAGCATTACTGATCCGCACTTCTTAAAAATACGTACAATTACTCGCCTTTACTCCTCACGATCTTTTTACCCTGCACACTTGTGAATAGAGGGCCGCTTCATTCTACCGAGGGTGTGAGGGCGTGATGTGGCTCTTCATCCATTGTTCATCGTTCTCGCGTTTTTCCTTAATGCTGGCTTTCCCGATACATCTAAGGCTGCATTGGCTAGTAGTTCACAGAAGACAGCTACTGGGTTTGGAATTTTCTCGCTTTATTTTTAGGTTTCAGTTTTATGACTAAACTGATTCAAAACTGAAGAGTGGGTTTTTATTCCACCAGGTCGCCATATGTCGTAACACAGTTTCATTCCGCTTCGTCCTTAGCCTTGCGGATAATCAGAACAATAACACCCGTTGGAAGTTTTTCGGATGAGTTTGGAATATGAAACGGCGGGTAGTTTTGCCGACCGTGTTCGATTCCGATACTGACACGTGTGTCGGCTTGAGTCAAAGAAAGTCTTGTAAAGAAGGAAGGATGCATAGAAGTAGTCGACCGTCGAATGTTCAACTTCGACATCACTTGAGCTTTGGCACTTTTTGGAGACAGATATTCACGCATGCGCAAATAATTATGGCAGATTAGAAAAAGTATGTGTGTCTAGACCTTTTATCAGGGTTAAAATAGCATTCAGTATGAAGGTAACCGTGTCCTTACAGATAGACGCCGGTAACTTGGACAAATTTAGGAAAAAAAGTGCGTCTATTTCCCGTAAATATGGTATTTGAGACACTGTTAATGTTATGTTTACTAATAATGCATGATTCATGCTTACGGATTCTTTTATCTTAGATGAATTACAAAGGAAGTTCAGCATAATAGTATCTTAATTGAATTTATTAGTCCCTTTGCGACTGGTCTTATTTTTTTCATTAATGTCCTTAAGAGTATCAGTGCAGAAATTGTAGGAACCCTGTTAAAATTTTATCATGTTTAATTCTAATTTCTGCAGATCTTTTTTAGTTAATTAATTAATTTATTATTTTTAGATTAATTGAATCTGGAGCCAAAATATTAAGTGAATCTGTGGAAATAGAGCCTTCTTTGCAAAAAATAGCATCAAAACTTCAAGAAAATGAAAAGTTAAAGGAGAGGTTTATGAATCGAACTACATCTGTACAAGTTAGTACAGTTTTATTCACTAATTAGTATATAAGGTATTTCTCCCGCCTTCGTGGTGTAGTGGTCTGCACGCTCAGTGCATATTGAGAGGTCTGCAATTCAATTTCCGGCAAGGTGTTGCATATTTTTCATCTTGCCTGCTTCCAAAAAATCCTAATGTCTCTACAGTGGCACCCGAACTAAAAGGTGGTGGATGATGATTCTGCACACCCAGGATTTGGTGATTGGGTCCTCTAAAATCCCCAATCGCCCTTTAAAAGGGGGAGTATGTAAGGTATTTCTCCCACCTTCTTAGTATGCATTCGAGGTGTAGTGGTCTGCAAGCTCAGCGTGTAATTGAGAGGTCCGCGGTTCAATTTCCGGTGAAGGTGTTGCATATTTTTCATCTTGCCTGCTTCCAAAAAATCTTAATGTCTCTACAAGTATATAATTGATTTTGAAAAATCTTGTATAAAAGTCCATTAATTTATAATTTATAATAATTAAGGTAACTAACTGTACAAACAACAGACACTAAATCAATTATAGATATTCTGGACTGAAGTAATTAACAACATAACTGTAATATGAAGTTATTTTCATGTTAACATGAAAACTTGTTGATTGATTGTTGGTTGAGTTGCATTGATTGTTGTTAGTTGGAAAATAATTTGAAATGAAACTTGTAAAATCTATGAATATATTTTGATTCTTTCTGGTTATCTATAAAAAGTCATGAACTCTTTGACAACTTTGTGAATTGGCAAAAGAACACTTCTTTGTCTTTCTTTATGGCTCATAAATACTGTAATGTTCATAAGTAATAATTATTAAAATCATTTTATAGAAAACAAAAAAATTTACACAAAAAATAAGCATCTGTGTGGCTAGTATTTACATTTTACAAAAAAGTGATCAGTGAAATGATGGTTAAATATAAAGCATGTAAATCCTTATCTACTGAAACGTGTGGCATATGCATGCCACACTTAAAAGTATGCTAAGCAGCTCTATTGAATGTTGAAACTAGCAGCAGAATGCAGTATGCAAGTTCTTATGTATTATCTTGTGCTTTGCAGCATGTTCAGGAAAGTTCATACGTAACTTTAATTTTGCACAACCATTGGCTGCAGACATGTATGTATAGTTACAAAAATGTTTTAAATTATGTAAATATTAATGCTGTGATATTTTAAAATTAAAAAGTCAGTTTTATAAGAATTATGAAATCTAAATTTTTTACAGTCCCTGTAAACCCCTCCCCTTTGCATGAGTGGGAGAAAAAAGGTGCATTGTTCATTCTTTGAAATAATTTTCTTTATATTATATTTTTTAATCATGGTTGTTACTTTTTTTCTTTGTAGAATTTCATTATAATTGTTTGAATTACATGGTTCTTAAATAATTTTTTTTTTTAAATTTCTATTTATTCATTCAAACTGCATATTTTAAGCGTATTATTGATATAAATCTTCAAGAATTTTATTTGTGTATTTTTTATTACTTCGTTTGAAAAAAGAACCTCAATACTAGACTATACATAATACATTTGAAAACTATTTAGATTCTCATACATTGCTTAAAAATTTTATCACTGTGGCCATGTTTCACCAATTTGTTTTAATCATAATTTAGTTTCTAAATATATACTACTTTTGATTCAAATATCATAAATTTTTGAAAGTTAATTTAAGAATTTTAAAAAAATTTAATTTTAAAATAAAAAAATATTAAATTTTGCAAAAAAAGAAATTTTTTTCTTCAGACATTTTACAAATATATTAAAAATAAACCACTTTTTTTTGTTTGTCTGCTGTACGCCAGAAACATTTCCAAAAATTCTTGGTATTTCTGATATTCATATAAGTATAAGTATCATTTTATGTTCCATCAGTATCTGGTCAGAGTAAAATAGTGAAGCGACTGTTACAATGATACTGAGTATCTTTAGAGGCTAGGCATTTTAAAGGTGTTACTGCATGGTGACGAAGTGGCTAGTACGTCGTACAGCTGCACCACAGGTCCAGGGTTTAATCCCCGGACTGGGCAAGGTTGACTGATGTGGCCAAATTTTCAGTGGACATAACATTATAGACATTCATAATATAATGGAATTTTGGCATTCCACAACATAGTGTTCTGGTCGCATTAGCCTTTCATCCCTTAAGTGAGTCGATGAAATGAGTACCAAGTTCACTTGGGGACTAAACACCGGGGTCCTCAGACAAGCTGACCACTTGCCCAGGGCATATGCTGATGTACTTGGGGGCCAAAGGTCAAGAAAGCAGAAAAAAGGCACTGCAGACCATGGCCCACTAGGGCTGTTGCACCACTGAGTTTAGTTTATTTTAAAGGTGTGGGAGAAAGATTGGTTTCATCAATATAGAAAAGGCTTTAGATGTTATCCATGTACACCCTTTAATAAATTCTTGAATCTTCAACTAATTTGACCAAAACATCGTAGGATCCTCCATTTATGATGTGATATGATGTTCTATGACGTAATTTAAATTCACAATCTTTCTATAAAAAAAAAAAAGAAAAAAATTGGAACAAACTAGGAGGCAGACATTTATTAGCAGGTTATCACCATCCCTTTGTACAAACTGAAGTTCCTGGTAGTACTGGTGACCCAAAAGTCCGTAAACATTTGAAAGTTCAGTATTCACGAAATAATGTAGGTAAAGAAGTAAAAACTGACTCACATACTTGAAATGACATGGGGTTTTATTGAAACCTACCAAAAAAGTACAGAAAATGGCCAACAGATGTGCTTCATATGGTAACAATAACAATAATTAGCATAACAATTGATTTTTAGCAAAGACAGTGTTCTTTATAGCAAATGCTCAACATGTTGGTCGTCATTAATCAGCTGTACTTGTAGTCAAGGGACAAATATTGTAAACAATTGTACAATACTATACAGCATATCTGTAAGTACAGAGAGAAATAGTAGCTGCTGGGTGTTGTCTTTTAGCATGCCTAATGAGGTCAGACGATCACGGTAGAACCACACAATCAATAATCACACAGATTGGGATGAGGGGACCTGGGAGGTCAAGCATGGTGGAAGTGGTGGCTCAGCATGCGATTCTCACCAAACGATGTACACAAGAGATCTTTCACATGTGTAGCAATATGGGGTGGGAATCCTGCATAAAAGTCATACCTTCCAGCAGGTGTTTATCAGCCAGGCTAGAGATGATGCGATTTTGTAACATATCGTTGTACCTCACACCCATCATGCTGACAGTTTGAAAAGCAAAACCTTGCATTTCCTCAAAGAATAAGGGTATGGTCATGATTGATGTGGTAAATCCACAGCACACCATGACTTCCTTGTTATGCAGTGTGGTTTATAAGACAGTTCTAGGATTTTCAGTATCCCAAATTCTATAGTTGAGGGAGTCGACAGACCCTCAGAGTTAGTAATGAGCTTCATTGGTCTGCAACATGATACACAATCAATCACCATCTCACCCCATTTTCTGAAATGCTCACTCTGCAAATGCGTCACAAAATTGGCAGTTAACAGTTCATGATGATGCTGGATTTTGTACTGATAGCATTGGAAGGTACGCTTTAGGACTTTCCGAACAGTAGGGTGTGAAATGCCGGTGCAACGTGCGACTTCTTAAGTACTGACTCTTACGTGCGTAGGCGAACCTTCTAAAGTCTCCATTGTTTCCTGAACTGTCCGAGCAGCAGTAGCACTTGTGTCTGGTCACCCACTATAGTGCTGATTATCTAAAGAACCTGTGGGTTTGAATTTTGTCTTCACAGCTACACCTGTTGCAGGACTTTTCCTGATTTCCTTTCAGCACAGGTCATTTTATACACGATTCTCATGAGGCGTCACTGATGTTTTGCCATCAGTCTGTGTGTCTTTTTATCCCCTTTGGTTTCAACAAAACCCCTTGTCATTTCAAGCATGTTTGACAGTTTTTACATTTCTGCTTGCATTATTCCGAGAATTATTGACTTTTCAAATGTTAACTGACTTTTGGATCACTAGTGTGTTAATATCCTAGTTGTATATGTTAAGAACTTTGATTGTTTTCTTTCTACTTGTATTTCTGAGACTTTTGACTTATCGTCATATTTTAGTGATTTTCTTGGATCTTCAACCATTTATCCTGAATTATTTTCCAAAATAAAAGCAACTTTTGTGGTGTTTCCTCAAAATGAGATGATAATTCAAATTAATTGTCCCACAAAGAGTTGTAAGTATCAACTCCTTAAACCTCTGTCTAAAGACCTAACTAAACAATGTAGCTAAAGCAACCGGATTAAAGCCTAAATGTTACATTGCATTTATTAGGTTTTAAAGGAAGCTAAATTAAATTTAATCATTTGTTTTTAAATTTATTTTATAGGCTGTTCTTTTAGAAAGCGTAGATAATCCACGAAAGAAGATTCTTGTTGGTAATACTCATTTGTATTTTCATCCTGAATCAGACAATATACGCCTAATCCAAGCTGCTTCTTGCATTTTTTATTTGGAACATTTACTTCAAAAATACAAGAATAAGGTATGTGTTATTTATTTCTTATTTTAAAAAGCTGAAATTAGAAAATTTATGAACTTAGATATAACTATAATTAATACTTTGCCATTGATTAAAAATTTCTTAAGTAAGGTAATTCTTATTTTTTGGCCTTTCAAAATTAATTAACTAAGATGATAACTATACATTTACAATCCATTTAGTATAAAATCTGCTGTTGAGATCTACAGGAGCTGGTAAAGTCCTTAAGAGTCCTTAGGGTTCTTTGGACCTTAAAAGGCCTTAATTCCTTAATTTTTCTCATCTGACATTTCCATATCTTTTCTATGATTGCCGTTTGATATGAGAATTAACTTCTGGATGAATATAGAATTCAAACTATGCAGTGCATAACGAAGCCATCGCAAATTGATGTTGCAAGCAGTGAGAAACGGTCAGCCACTTTGAAACAAGTTTCAAATTTTCTGATTACATTTCATGAACTCTTTCAAAATAAGTGTTATCAACTAAGTACCATCTCATTAGCAGTGGGAGAAAAAAATCTAAAAGCTTTCAGATTTTATATAACACCCAAAGGAGCTTTTTTAATGTTTTGTGTGTTGCCTTTATTTATTAAATATCATATTCTTTGCACTTAACCATAAAATTCAATTCAGCAGCAATACGACAAAATAATTTTAAAAAAGCATATCTTTAGAATTTCTAATACACAGTTTCGCACCCTGGAAATAAAATTTATTATTTTATTTTATTTTATTTATTTATTTTGTACAGTGTTGCCATTGAAAATGTTGAGTTTGTTATTAAAAAATTCAATAACATTTTACAAAATATGTAATAGATAATAAAACAAATTCCAAATTTGGACTTCCAGATACCCATATTCGAGTGGAGGACTATTTTATTAAAATTTGATGTCTCTAGGTACTGTTGTGTTTTCACAGTGGGAGAAACATACTACATACATTCATGCAGATTCTTTATTATTGAATTTCTTTAAATATAATGCAGGACTCCAATATTTAGTGGAAACAATTTGAATAGTGAAATGCCATTTACGGTGAACCGACGCAAAGTGCCAAAATGAAATTAATAGCCCTTCTGAGTTGGCCCTTTGCGCTAAAAAAAATGTTTTATGAAAGTCACCCTTATAACAATGAGATGCAAATGTGACCGGCAACATGTCAAAGTTGAACTTCATAAAGCTCACTCTTCCACTCACTGTTATTGAGAAATTCATGGGTAAAAAGCAAAGACTATAGGGTGTTTGGAAAGATGGAGAATATTCCGGAAAAAAAAAAAAAAAAAATCTGCTTTAACAATTAAAGTAATCTAATTCAAGGAAGAGACATTTGTGTAGAAAGGTCATTTGCTTCAGCACTACTAGAAACAATGGAGACCATCTGGGACATTCCTGTAGAGAAAAAAATGACGATTCAATTAAAAATAAATCAATAAAATTTTAAAAAAGGATCAGTGATAGTGGTTGGCTGTTGAGACAGTTCAGTTAGATTATAGCTTCTAGGAAAATTTAAGGAACATCTGCCAATTTTGAATTTTTAATCATTTTTAGAAAATCTGCACCAGTTATACATGAAATTAATGTTCACGAATTTTGCTTTTTTTTTTTTTTTTTTTTTTGTGTGTGTGTGTGTGTAAAACGCTGAAATTTTTCTAGTTTGTCTGTTTTGCCCCTTCTGTAGCATATATCAGGAAAGGCAAAAGTGGAAAGAATTCTGTGTTTGTTCTGTAGCCTTGGCTACTAATGTTTAAAATTAATTTATGACTAGTAACAGCATGAATTATAAACAAATAGCTAAGTTATTGCATTTTATTTTCCAGCTATCGAAATGCGACGCTACGAGCAACGTTTTGAAACCAAAACCTAGCAATCATGAATCAGAACTAGAACTAGTTGCCATTCAGCATAAAGAAATTTAAATAAATAACTTATTGGCATTCAGCATAAAAGAAATATAAATATGAATATTAACAAAATATTAAAGTTAATTTTATAAAATAATTAAACACATGAACAAATATATGAAATAAAAAATAATTATTTCTCATGCAATAACTGGGCCACTACACTACTCCCCCACCAGTAACTAAGTTACGTTACGAAGATGGAGAAATAGGTAGTAACTAGTATTGCAGTGTTAACCACTATCAAAATAATTTAGTCAGTCCTTGAATCTAACAGGTAAACGTATAGTTCTGCCTGTGCGAGAATGGTTTTTGATTCACATCCGAATTTGAGTCCGGTCTCTGCAAATTACTGTAGTCAGGTTGTATCAACTGAGAATTTTCCTCAGCTAAAATATATGCTGGTTTCAAGGCGATCCAGGGATACATTAACATGTTTTCCTTTTGTGCTAATAGTAAAATATTTGTCCTTGCGATCAATAACAGGAAATGGTCCTTCATAAGGAGGTTCCAAAGGTTTTTTTACCCGATCTATTCGCTGAAACACATGAGAACAAGTTTTTAAGTCTTTATGGACAAATATCTGTTCAGATGAATTTTTACGAATTAGTCTCGGTCCAACAACTTCCATCTGTTTCTGGAGTTTATTAGCAAAAGTCTCCGATGCTGTCTGGATACTTGGTTCGCTGAAAAACTCTCCAGGAAGTCTGAGACTCTGGCCATAAACTACTTGCGCAATAGAATGATTGGTATCTTCTTGAATAGTGCTGTTGAATAGTTTACAAACCCAAAAGTACTGTTGGTAACGTGTCCGTCCAAGATATGTTGTTGTGGGCTTTTAATGCTGTTTTCAATGTTCGATGAAGGCGCTCAACTTTGCCATTACACGAGGGGTGGTAGGCAGTAGTGTGTTGTAAATTGATGCCACAGATTTTGGACAAAGCTCGTAATGTATCACTTTTAAATTGGGATCCACGATCACTAATGAGTTTACTTGGCGTTCCGAAACGCGCAATCCAGTTGCTATAAAAGGCTTCTTGCGACGTTCTCAGCAGAAATATTTTCTAAAGGAATTGCTTCCATCCAATTCGAAAATCTATCTATGCAAGTAAGACAATAAATATTCCCTTTAGATGGTGGAAGTGGTCCTATGAGATCGATATGGATGACAGAAAATCTTCCTGGTGATACTTCAAACTCACCTAATTTTGTTTTGGTGTGCCGATTGATTTTAGCTTTTTGGCAATGAATGCAGGTTCTTGTCCACAACTGTACATCTTTTTTATGTTAGGCCAAATGAATTTTGATGTCATTAATTTCATAGTCGATTTTATTCCTGGATGTGATAAACCATGAATTCTTTGAAAGACGTGTTTTCTGAAAGCCTGAGGAATATACGGCCGAACATGTTTAGTTGATGTATCACACCACAAATATTTCCCCGATGGTAGAGAACATTGCTTGAAATTCAAGGAAGTAGTGGTTTGCAAACTCTTCAGTTCTTCATCTTGAGTTTGTTCATCAGCTATTTTATCATAATCTATCGATGAAATTTCATTAACTCTAGATAACGTATCCGCCACAATATTATTCTCACCTTTTAAATATTTGATATCAGTCGAAACCTGGGAGATGTATTGAAGTTGGCGAGCATGTCTAGGTGTTGCTTTGTCAAGTTTTTGACGAAAGGCGAATATTAAGGGCTTGTGATCTGTATAAATTGTAAATACTCTTCCTTCTAGATAATGCTTAAAGTGTCTAACTGAAAGATATATGCTTAATAGTTCTCTATCATAGGTGCTATATTTTTGCTGAGTATCACTTAATTTTTTTTTTTCATATTGTTGCAACACTGAGCCAATCGCCGTATCTGAAGCATCTGTAAATAACGCCAGAGGTAATTCAGAATTGGGAAAAGACAACAGTGCCGTGTTCACCAGGTCATTCTTGCACGTTTCAAACTGTTTTTCAGCTTCTTCAGTCCATTCGATTTTACGTTTGTCCCTCTTTTTAGCTCCCTTGAGATACGCATGTAACAATGCTTGATTCTTCGCTGCATCCTTTATATAACGACGATAAAAGTTAAGTATTCCAAGAAAGGTTCTAAGTTCATGAATTGTTTCTGGTCGTTTGTAGTTAGTAATAGCTTGAACTCTTTCTGGCAAAGGACGGGAACCCTTAGGTGTAATTAGGTAGCCTAGAAACTCGATTTGGGGAACAGCAAAGACAGATTTTGAAACATTAATTCTTAACCCAAATGTATGTAATCTTTCGAAAACTAATTTAAGGTGATTTTCGTGTTCTTCATGGGTACTGGATGCAATGAGTATATCGTCTAAATAGGGAAAAACGAATTCTAATCCTCTAAAGACTTCGTGAATAAATCTTTGGAACGTTGCAGGAGCATTTTTTAAACCGAAACTCATTACATTAAATTCGTATAAACCGAAAGGAGTGATGATAGCCGTTTTACATTTGTCTTCTTCTGCAATGGGAATTTGAAAATAAGCTTTGAATAAATCAATTTTAGAAAAAATATTTGTACCTCTTAAAATATGATGAAAATCTTCAATGCGAGGAATTGGGTATCGATCAGGTATCGTCTGCGCATTCAATCGTCGGTAGTCTCCGCAAGGACGATATGAACCATCCTTTTTCGTAACAAGGTGCAAGGGGCTTGACCACTGGGAGTTTGATGGACGAATTATTCCATTGTCAAGCATAAATTTAAATTCCTCTTTAGCTATAGCTAAGCGTTTTGGATCGAGCTGTCGTGCCTTTGAATAAACGGGTTGACCAACAGTCGAAATAAAATGTGTAACACCATGTTTAATTTGTGTAGGAAAAAGGTTAGGTTTAGAAATTTCGGGATATTTCGACAGTAAATCGAAAATTTTTATGGATTTATTTAATGTGGTTACTGAGTAATCACTGGAAATAGCAGCGACATCACACTGGACACAAAGCTGTGTTACGCCATCAATTAATTTTTTCTTATTTATATCGACAAGCAATTTATATTTGTGAAGAAAGTCAGCTCCTAAAATACCTTTTGTGACATCAGCAATTATGAATGGAAACTGAAAATCACGACGTAATCCCAAATCAAGAGTTAGCGTTTTTATGCCATAAGTGGAAATATCTGTGCCATTAGCTGCATACAGTTTATATTCAGTTTTACATTTATTCTGTGAAGTAGCAGGAATTATGCTTACGTCAGCTCCGCTATCAATAAGAAAGTGCAAATTTGATCTTCGGTCACGAACGAATAAACGAAATTTGCGACAATCCTTCATATTTTCTGCAGCAGCGTTTGCCGCTGAACCTACTGCAGATTCGAGTTTTCCTGGTTTTTGAAATCGTTTTTTACCCAAGCACACGGAGGCTTGCATTTTGCTCCAAAACGAAAGTGATAAAAACAAAATTTGCCAGTAGGGTCATATCGTTTACGAGGTTGGCTTCGAGATCGTGAACGTGAATTACGTAAATCCGAGTCCCTTCGTCTTGAGCGAATGGTTACTTGATCAATTTTTTGTTCAAGAAAGGTAATTCTTTGCAACAAATCATTTGCGGGAACGAGAAGGAGCATTAGTACTAAATACTTCTGGTTTCCGATTCATATCACTAATTTTATCTGCCATAGACGCTAACTTGGTTACATCTTCATCACTAACTAATAATATATTTTTTATGGAGTCAGGTAGCTTCTCCAGCCATAAAGTTTTGATTAGATTTTCAGACACATCTGTAGTAGCAACTGATCTCAACTTCTGCAAACGTTGGCTTGGTTTCATGTCTCCAAGTTCGATACCAGTAATCAAACGTTTAATCCGTACATTTTCACTTTCTTTGAATAAATGTAATAACCTAATTTTAGCATCCGAATATTTTGTGGCACTATCGTTCGTTACAATGTCCCAAATATTTTCGACGAACTTAGGTTCAAGCTGTGAAACTAAATAATTAAATTTCGTTTCTTCTGAAACGATATTTCTAAGTTTGAACTGAGCTTCAACTTGAAAAAACCATATTTCCGGTTTATCAATCCAAAAAGGAGGTATTTTTACACTCACCTTATGAAGCTCCGGTGACTGTATCGTATCTTTCATAGCAGTTTCAGAAGAGTCATTTGTTGACATTTCGAAAATTAATCAGGGTCACCACGATGTAGCCTTGGCTACTAATGTTTAAAATTAATTTATGACTAGTAACAGCATGAATTATAAACAAATAGCTAAGTTATTTTATTTTCCAGAAATGAAATGCGACGCTACGAGCAACGTTTTGAAACCAAAACCTAGCAATCATGAATCAGAACTAGAACTAGTTGCCATTCAGCATAAAGAAATTTAAATATAAATATGAACTACTTATTGGCATTCAGCATAAAAGAAATATAATATGAATATTAACAAAATATTAAAGTTAATTTTATAAAATAATTAAACACATGAACAAATATATGAAATAAAAAATAATTATTTCTCATGCACTAACTGGGCCACTACAGTATATCAATATAAAAATTACAAAATGGTTATTTAGTAAAAAAAAAAAAAAAAAAAAAATACCATATGTACTATTTTGACATACACGTAAAAAAGTAATGGATTACAGACACCTGTTATTCAATTACAGCAAATTAAACAAAATTTTGAAGCTGAAAAACCAGTGTTAATTCAGCAATATGATTTTGAGTATTCAAATACGATACTGCACACAAGCCCTTACCACACTCTGTCTGATCCAGGAGAACCTAAAGTATACTCCTCATCGATATTTGAATCAGACATTGGAAAAAAAGAAAACTTTTTGGTATAAAATTTACTGGAAACAAACAAAACCCAACATGTGTCTATGTTTAGCTGAACACACCTACACCTTGCCCTGACTGAAATCCATGAAAAAGTAGGACCAGTAACACTGTGTATTTTGAAAATAATGAATTAAGTCTGAACTGAATATCCTAAAGCAAAAGGAACTCAGCTCAGGCTTCACAAAATAGAAAAACTAATTTTTCTTCTTTGTAAAGTCAGTTCGAGCATCACAAATATGACACACAGTAGTTGCGCGCACTGGACTCAGGCGACACTGGGAAGGGGTTAAAGCCAGTGCCAGGAATTCGGGTTACCATTTAAACTTATTCTCTTTATTGTGCAAAACATAGTCTTTTTCCTTTTGCTATAATGTGAATTCTTTTGTTGTGCGGTGCCATGTTTGGTGATTTTTAAGATCAGTTTGTTTACAAAAACTTAAGATTTGGGGATTTGTGAATTTCATGGGGATTTTCTTTTTTCTTGGTCTTCTGTCCATGTGCACAGCATCTGTTTTAGCTTCCCCCCCCCCAAAAAAAAGAAAGAAAGAAAGAAAAGAAAAATGCAAAGTTCTTAGCTCTGCAGAGCAAACAGCTCCGTGTATGCATCAACCCGTTTTAATTTTGAAAAATATCAGATAATTACACAAATTAACTCTATGGAATACGCATTTGTGCACTGTCTGTTTCTAAGGAAAATGCCATATTTCTGAAAAAATGAACCACCTTCACTTTCATTAGCAGATGTACTCCACAGTGGCATTACAATTCATTGTAAGAAAATAAAACTCTACATTCTGATTCAGGTATGTGTTGCAAATACGGTACTGAAAGATTTCAAGATTTTAGTTCTTTGAAGTCATTATTTTGATTTCCATTAAAAATAAGCATAAATAATGCAACAGAAAATTTAGAAATGGAGTTCATTTATTTGCAGTGGGATATAAATCTTATTGAAATATTTGAAGATAGATTTTATTAATTTTTATTCATACTTGTCAAATAATATCTCAGTCACAAATTTTTGCATGAAGAATGATCGCATTGTTTGCGAATACATTTATATATGAACAGCTTTTTTTCACCATTGAAAACCCAGTTGATCAGTGAGCACCTACAGTCTTCAATGAAGATAATTTCTCTCCAAGAACAAAAACTTTCTAGATGCCACCTAGTGTCAAACTATAGTAAGAAATAAATAACTTTATAAACATGCAAACATGTGTATTTTTATTTATGAATTAAAAAACATTTAATAAATAAGAGAAAGGGACTATATTGTGTTGTTATTTATTCTTGAGTTTTGTACAACATAGTAAATTTTCCTGAAAACTTAGAAAGAAAGAAAACTAGATATAAATTTCAATTATTTTCCTTTGTGATATTATTGTTTATATATACTTTGATAAGTATATAAAATTTATTGAAGCAAAATTTAAAATTTATTTTAAATATTTTTTTTTTTTTTTGTGAATAAAATTCATTTAAAATACAATCTTCTTTATTCAGATAAGTTATGGATATGACATGAAAAAATAAATAAATAGAGTTCAAGCTTTGAGGTTATCAGACAAACAATTAAAAAAAAACTATGCCATTTATTCCAGTGATCAAAATTTCCTGATAACATTTAAAATAGCAACAAAACATTTATCTTTGTGGTCTAGGCACAGCAGACTTTCCCTTAAATACAAATCTGAGTGGTGTCATGCAGTTGTGATTACTGCACCCATTTTGCCAAACCTTCGAATTCTTTCAATGTTTTGAATAACATGTCAGTATAGCCAATCCTGTAATTTTAAAGATATTCCATTTCTTGCTGATTTATAGAAAGGCAGGTCCAGAATTTTAATATATATGTGTGTGATATTTTAATACGTAGAAGGAACCCGATACTTTAATTTCTGGCAGTCAACATGGCTGAGTGTAAAGGCATACAGGGATACAGGTGATGAAACTGAATTTGAAGAATCATAATCTTTATTTTTCATGCACATCAAATCATTTCTTTGCATACAAGACATTCTTTAATCATAGTTAAGTACAATAATTTTTATGTTCATGGGTTTTGAAGTACGACGTCATTTTAGGCAAGTAGGCCTAGCAGCGCAGAGATGTTTGCAGGGTAGAAGTTAAGAAAAAGAAGACGTAATTCCTCATGAAGCAGTGTTTATACTAGGTAGGTGCATATGCACAGCTAAGGTGCGATTGGTTAATTTTAGGTTTTAGTTCCCTTTTCAAGCGGTGTTATGTATAATTTGGAAGGATCTCAAATTTGGGAGAAAAGATGAACTTAGGGGGAGAACATCAAATTTAGAATATCAATCAATATAATGTTAATCCTTCTTTTTAAAATGCAAAAGTGAAACTGGTTTGCTGAGAATTGTGGTAAGATGTAATCAAATGAAGATCTTACTAGTATATTGTGATATCACACTTATCCATTGCTAGTGCTAAATTTCATTATTTGGTGACTTTTTTTTTTTTTTTTTTTTTTTTTTTTTTGTTATTGTTAGAAATGGTCAGTGGAAAAATACATAAATACTAATAAATGTGTATATAATGTGTGTCAGTCTACAGTTTATGTTAGCAATAAATCTTCAATGCTACAACAAATTCTTATTTGTTAAATATTTGGAGAGTCAAAAATTTAGATTTTTATATCTTTTTATTCAATATTTTTTTTTATAATTCAATTCAACAAGTGTTGTATACTGTTTAATCTAAATTTATGCAAATTGCAGTAAAACACTATGATGAAGAGGAAAAAAACATTCATTTTCAGATTCAGGAATTCCCAAAATTATAAGTTTTGAATAAATTTAAAAGAACTATTTATAAGCTTAAATTTTACAGGCCTGTGTATTTGATGGAATGTTCATAAGGAATTGAAGATTTAAAATATTAAAACTCTGTTGCATATTTCAGCAACATAGGAGAATATTATTTATAACTGATTTGTCATTATGAATGAATTAAAATTTTAAGTGTATTTTTTAAATTATGAAAGTTTTTTTAATTGTATGCATTATGTAGCTTTTTTATATACATGATTTTGTAAAATAAATTTTCAATATCATGATTATTATTTATTTATTTTAAGGATCCTGAGTGTACTATAGCTTTAATATTAAGTGGAGATTTCAATAGTTGCCCTGAATTTGGTGTGTATAAATTTATGACTGCGGGATATCTTGCTGAGGATTGCATAGACTGGAAAAGTAGTATGTACATTTTTAATCTCTTTTTTTTTTTAATTTTTATTTCAAATTTTAATATTTTGAAGTTAGCGCAAGGCATGCCCACATCAATTTTGTTACTTATTTTATAGACTGATTGTAAGATTACTTTAGAATGCATTTATTTTCTACTTTTGGCCTAAGGGTTATACCATTATTAAAATCATTTATCTATATAAACAATGATAAAAGTTCTTTCAATTTATGCATATCCATTTGGAAGACTACAGAAGATATATAATTTGTATAATTTTGAGCATACGTATTACTTTCATTTCTTCCTAAGTTGCCTTTGCTAATATAAAGCATTATAGTATGCAATAATATGCATATATTGTAGCTGCCAAGTCTCCTTGCTTTTCATTATGTCTTCAGGTAGATCATTAAATCTCCTATTTTTTACTTTTTATTCTTTAAGGAAAACATTTGATGTGTACACCACATGATTTCCTTTTATTATTATTATTAAAGTATTAAATTAGAGTATTAAATTATGTGCATTTTTTTCTTGCATTTCATTAAAATTTCTTGGATTGAATTAAATCTACTTCCTCGATGGCGCATAAACCACAATAAAATAAATGCACTGTTTAAAATTCACTATATTTGTTTACTATAGCGACACTGGTGCTAAGTTCACTTAACAGCGTTATATGTCATTCATTTTATAACTCAAAATGCATGTCATCTGAAGAATTATTTAATCGTTGCCATATGTTCTATTCAAATACTATAATAAATTTAAAATGATGTATAAAAGAAATTAAGCAAACAAAACAAAAAGGAAATAGTTTTTCCCAGATGATTCAGTATTTCTCTTTCAAATAATTCAGTTCTCACTTCCCGTCAAGGCAAAAATACATAAAAACTCAAATTATCTATATTAAAAAATACAAAGTAAATCTTAAACACTTATTTTCTTGAATAAATTCCAGAATTCATTAAGCATAATTTAATTTGCAATAATAAGAGATCTTTGTTGTTGCAAAGTTTACTTTCTCTAGATTGGCAAAAAATCCACTATTTTGCAACTTTCAAATGCAAACAAACATGGCTGCCGTGGTAAAAATAATTACGCTTAGCGGCACTTAAATAACTTTTAAATTGTTGGTAATTCTACAAATATTGCATGCAGATTTACTAAAGGTTAAGGCATAAAAACCTAAACCAGAAAATATCAACATAATTCAATCATTTTTAATATTAAGTTTAGAATATTAAAAAAGCAAAAAAATGCACAATTTACAAACATACAAGAATAAAAAAAACTGAGATCACTGAGTCGAGTAATAGAGCGAATATATAAGGAACTATAGAATGAAATGTATTTTTTAGCATAAGCTTTTAAACATTCTTATTACTTCTAATATATATATATATACACTTATATTTATATGCTTTTGGAGCAGCCCATTGTAACCAAAATACAAGGTGCACATCTACATGTTATAGCAGCCCTATATACAAAATTTCAATGTTCTGAGGCTACTTGTTTTTGAGTTATGCGAGATACATCGCGTACGTACGCACCGACGCCACAAAAAATTCTCTTCAGAATTCATTTTAAATCAATTTTATAATTTGGGGGGAGGGGGGCTTTATTCTGTCCTTACGTACAGATGTCATGTAAAAACTGCATTTGATAGCGGTCAAAATGGATATTTTCGTTAAAATATTATACCTGAAATTTTTCACGATTCCAATATTTCCTTTTTACTTTGTACAAGACAGTAAAAATGAAATTCACAGCTACCAGCTCTTCTGGTGTTACCAGGAGACTCACTTTTTTCACATATCAGAATTTCTGGGTTTTTAACTTTCAACCTTTACCAAGGAAACTCTTTTTAAGCAATAAATGGAACTTAGTGTGTTAATAATACTTAAATTAGTCACATTTCATTCTCCCACCCCTTGTAATTTTCAGCATAATTTTTTTATATTAAATCGTATTTGACTTGAATTGAATTTTAATTTATTGTACATATTTGTAGAACTTTATATGAAGACTTCACCAATGTCTAATCAGTTAACATTTGTATTGAGTTTAGTTTTATATAAATATAGTGAATAAAGAAGTTATAAATTATTAATTTTATTTTCATTGTGTTTAAAAGTACTTTGAAAAATTAAAGCTTTCCTTCAATATTCAGAATTATATTAGTTAAAAGTGCAAGAAAGTTAAATTAACCAAAGAATATAAAATTTCGAATATCTAGTGAAATATAAAGTTATTTAACATCAAAAACATATCATAAATGCTTGAACAACCTAAATCATGTATTATAAAGCAAAATTCAGTTAATTTAGAGTTTTTTAAATTGTGCTGCCATACAGTGTGCAAACCTCCCAGAAACTCATGGTTTTTTGCTCAAGATTTTCCCAATTTTCCATATGTAAAGCTTGGCAACTGTGATATGTAATTTTGGTACTTGTGCCAGCACCTGATGGCTCACCAAAATACCACTTCCTACTGTAATTCTTGCAAAGGTTTGGCAGCCCTAAAAGCTGTTCCAAATTTTTTTTAAACAGATCATATTTTTATTTGTTTTTCTTCTCATATTAATATTCTTTGGGGGGAAGAGTGGGGATGGTTTCTTTTTTATTTCAAATATATACCAATTACAGCAAGCGTAGATCTACATAATGTTGTCTTCTTTTTTTTTTTTTTTTTTTTTTTTCCCTGGAACAGTGTTTATTAGTCTCATGTTAAATTTTTATTGCATTTTTGTCATGCATTTACTGGATTTGCAACAAATCAAGTAGAAGCAATCTATAATTTCCAGGCATATAGTATTTTGCCAAAAAAAGCCATGACTGTACCATTTCTTTCCAAGTGTAGCTGTACATGGTGAAAAATGCACAATGGAAATATAAAGTTAACAACAGTTGAAAAAGCACAAGAATATGAACTTGGAATTGCTTCACTTGTCTTCTTATATAACACAATTTGTGTAAAAGCAGAGAAAAAGCAGCAGAATAATAATCTCATATTATTTTGATTGTTAAAGAATACTTGTCGAACTTTAGAATATCATTTTTTTAATCTGTTGACATGAAAAATATATTTCATTGATAAAAGGCAGCAATAGATTATTGAAGTTGTAATGCCACCTGTAGTAACCACATTCTGATTAGTAGTGAATTAGTTATGATGGAGAACTATATGATTCAGGAGTGTATAAGTATTGTAAAAACTTAGAAAGTCCTCCACAAAGGCATCCCTTCCCTTAGGCAGATAGCCCTTGAGGTTTTGCCGGAATACATACACCAACTGTGAAAACGTATTACAAACAATATTGTGCTGAAATTGTCCACAAACTGCATGTGTGTTAAGGCAGTGAAAATAGGTCAAATGGAATGACTAAAAAGAGTGGTTTAGAAATTTGAACAAGCAAGTTTAGTGATGGAAAGCAAAAGAAATGGCTATCTTTGTAGCAGATGCTTGGTCAAAAACATTTCTGCTGATGTGCTAATGTTGTTCAGTGTTTCAGAATGTCAGTTCAGTCCAGGTCTTTTGAATTGGATATTTCAAGAAGTACCATGCATCAAAAGATTATTGCGAATACATGTGCATATCCATACAAGATTTAAATTATTCAACAGCTGAATCCAAATGACCATGTGCAATGTTTATTTATTGGATCTTCGAGAATCTAAAAGTGGATGCTGATTTTGCTAATAATATCAGCTTTAGCGGACATTTTCATCTGAATGGTATGTTACAGAAAATGCGGTTAATCTTTGGATTGTGGTAACTTGGCGATTTTTTGGAGAAAATTTGGCGACCAACCCTGCTACAGCAACCTGCTAGTTTTTGTTTGGACGCCATTTTGTTTTCACGAAGTAAAGGCAATTTTTTTTTTTTTTTACTCAACATTTTTTTTTCCAACAATCTGCTAGCCATATTACACTTATGCTAGAACTTTTATGGAACAAAAGTGCTTAATCATGACGAAGATTAGGTGCGAAATTGGGAGAAAGTGCAGAATCGCAAACTGCTTGCCGCGTTTTTAAGAATTGCACGTACACGGTATCCATGTAAACATCGACCTATTTTCACTTAAAAAACATCCCAGAATTGCACAAAAATGGCATTGTGCACACTCTTGACTTTATCCATGTACACTGCTAAAGTCCTAGCTAGTAACCTTTATCGCCTTACCAAAATGTTGCCAAACTACCTGTTACCATATTCCAAAGATTAGCCAAAAATGCATATCAACCATTCCAAAACTTAAAGAAGAAATCTGACATGTTATCTCAATAATTGAGCCATAAGTCTGTGAAAATATGACTACAGGTTTGTCAAAAGATTGGAATGATATGTGAAAACATTTGTTGAATATTATTTTCCTTATTTAATCAGAAAGTTTACTCTTTCAAAGTATGTTGTTACTTACCAGTTCATGCATGCATAAAGACTAATTTTGTAAATTTAAATCCTGCGCTACTTTTGGGACACTTTTTATATCTTCCTCATCTTTTCTAATGCTTGAGAATGTGTCTTTTCCTGATAACAAGAATGTGTCTTTTCCTGATGCATATAGTGGCATGCATCTTACTTGTGGTCCACTTTCCTGCTTTTCTCATTCGAGCAGTGTCCATTTCCATTATATTTATGATGTAATATACAAAATTAATATATGTGTTGTGAATGTAAAATATTTCATTATGTTTTGTAAGTTTAATTTACATGATACTTTATTTTCATACTTAATATTGAATAACTCCATTACACACAAAAATGTTGCCAAATTGGCAGCTTTTCATAGTTTTGTAAAGTTTGGCAGGTTCGTCAGTATGTGTATCAGGAAGTAAATTAATCAAATAATATTTGTTTTTAAACACAGTACATAATAATCTGAAACTGAAATTGCAGTTAGTATTTAGTGTTTACTGCATTAGATTTCAGTGTGGTGTTTACAAATTTTAATGATGATTAAGCTAAATAGTTAACATTTATTTTTAAATCCTTTTTATCTCTGGATCTCATATTATGTATTCTGTTGAGTATTGATTTTGTTTCCATGTTGGAAAATTACCTGTTATAATTTAAACAAGGTGGGCAAAAATACAGGTTGATGCAGAAACCTAATACAATATAAGTTTTTTTTTTTAGGGAAGGACAAGAAATTCAAATTTAGGATGGACACTTCATTTTCCAATAAATCTTAAGCAGTATTTTATTATGAAAAAATCAAAACATGATCTTTCACAAGAAGTTAAAATTTTATGAGGTGTTTTTCACAAATATTTTCCATTTTCATTTTCAAAATATGAAATTTATTACTCAAGTTATTGAATGTTGCATTAGAATAATATGTTGAAAATGCTATTTCACTAATTAAGGGAAAAAATTAAGAATTATTTTTTATTGCCTCAAGATTTTTTTAATATATTTAGATTGTAATATATTAAGATTTTTTTAAATATGTTTTTTGTTTTGTATGTGTGACATTGTATGTTGTATATTTGCACTTTTATGTGCTTTATTATGTGCTCCATATATATTTATTCAACTAATGTATAAATTATGAAAATAGAAAACATCAAAAAAATTTTGCATGATATAAAAACTTTTAAAGTAGATAATTAGGAAATGTATGAAACAAGTTAGACTTAATATATGTAAGTATTTCACATATTTTGAATATGATCATATATATCTTGATGAAATCATTTCATGCACATTCTTGAATTTTTTTATTGAAGATAAATGTTTATACATATGATTTTTTTTAATTAGATGCAGAAGAAGTTGTTAATGGAATAGCTTTGTCTCACTCCTTACAGCTAGACAGTGCTTGTGGGACACCAGAATATACAAATTATACTGAAGGATTTGTTGGATGTTTAGACTATATATTTTATGATAAATCTTGTTTGGAGGTTGGTGATATTGTACCACTTCCAACACATGAGCAAGTGACTGAATATAAAGCTTTACCAAATAAAGTATTTCCCTCTGATCATATTGCATTAGTATGTACTTTAAAATGGAAATAAATTTAATTATTTAAATTCTTTTCTAATGTGTATTTCATCAGCTTTTACAATTTATATAGCCACATTTATGGTTACCTCCAGAATAATACTAAAATATTTTTTATGACTTGGAATTTGCAGTAGTAAAAATGTTAAAGACTAACAGTGTGTAATAAAACACCAAAAGCTGTTATTATTAATTTTTGTATTAAATCACATATTCTGAAGAAGGATGAGAACCTAGAACTCAAAAAGTGAGTTGTAAATATTATATGGATTTGGAATTTTATGAAATTAATGCCATTTACGATATTGCAAGTAACAAAATATTTGTTTTATTCACCACAAAGAATAAAATTTGAATTTAATGTGATCTGCTGCTGAATATGATCATATTTATCCATGACACTTATGATAATTAAGGGATGAAAAAAATATCCTTTAAACTATCAGTGGATTGTAACTTAATATGACTACAAGCATATAAATGTTTACTACAATTGTATTTTAATTAGGAAAAAAGTCATTAATAGTTGATTAGTAATCAGTATCCACACAAGTGTTAAATTCGGCATAATTCATGTTAGTTGGAGACATTTTTAGTTTTCATCATAGATTAAAAGGCTGGCATGTTTAAAACAGTTCTATATTATATTTTCTGAGATTCTATTCCAAGTCTTAAATGTTGCCTGAAATCAAAATCAAGATTCTTACTCAGAAATATTTCTCTTGTTGAGAATTTCTATAATATATTTCAAATTTATTCAGAGATTTTATCTTTTATTTCACGGCATTATTTCAGTTTTAAAAATTCATTCTATAATATTTTAATTACATCAATTGAATTGCTGATCACAATAAGTGATATATTTTCCATATTGTAATATGCAAAATGTGGGACTTTGACAGTTTGATAACAATATTAAAATGGTAAAATTAATTGTGATTACATTAAGTGGTGCCTACTGTATGTAATTCTCTTGCAATCTCTCAAAAATATATGATATAAAAATCTCACTATTGCTTGTTTTTGTATTAGAATTGCTCCCCCCCTGAAGTGTAATCATTGTTTTTTTACCTAGATGGGGTTTCAGAATACTGTTTTAACTTCTATTGTTAGTTTAACTTACTGCAAATGAAATTGAATTAGCTTTCAGAATTTCATAAAACACAATTAAAACTGCCAAATACTTTATGTACAAAATGTATGGCTCCTTTGGAATGTTTTAGAAACAAACTCGTCTATTTAAGTATCATAGAATCCTCATTCTTCAAAGTAATTACGATAATAACTACCTCAGATAACTGAAGGTTTGTTTAAATTAGAGACTAAATTTTAAATCATGTCAGTTTTCCTTTCAATAAGCTTTTCTGAATTTGTTTATTTGAAATTCTTAAGATGTTTATTTGTGTATTTGAAATGCACAAGGACTACTATTAACATACTCTTGAATTGGTAGATAAATTTGTTTTCTTCAATAAACAAATAATCCATGCAATATTTTATTTTGTGGGAAATATTTGTGAAGAAACTGGAATAAACAAACTCCATCAAAATTTACAAGTTACAAAATTTTGTCAAATTTCGTACATTCGTTTTTAGAAGACAATTTTTTTTTTAACTCTGACAGCTAGCTGCTGCATGATCAATGCAGATTTTGAAGCACCAGAATGTTGCTGTGTTTATTAAATATTCAGAATGGTTGTTCCATCATCATGAAATGAAAACAAGTAACATTTAAGTTCCAGATTTCGACATGCACAATTTCCATTTCATTGTCATCTTCAACATCTCTCTCAATTCTGCAAATTCTATCCATTCTCTAGATTTATGGCACTGATGATTTCTTTATCACTCAAAACTTGAAAAAAAAATTTTTTTTCGCCCAAAGGGCCTTAGCCCAGAAGGGATATTAATTTTATGTCAAATCACTATAAACGGTGTATCACTTTTCAAATTGTTGCACTAAATATTATCATCCTGTATTTTATTTAAAGAAACTGAATAATGAAGAATTTGCATGAATGTATGCAGTGGTACCTAGAGCCTTCAAATTTTGAATAATGTGTAATCCTTCACCTCAGTATGGGCATCTGGAAGCCCAAATTTGGAATTTCTTTTATTCTCTATTTCATATTTTATAAAACGTGATAACGAAAAATTTTTTTTTATAATCTCAACGATTTTCAGATGACTCAATACTCTCTAACTGCGACTTTGTAACTTCGCTATCAGTTTCTATCAACTTAACAGTCACACTTTCACTTTCTTCTATCTCTACTCCACTTGATAATCAGAAGTTTTCTTCCATGAATTATTTCTTCACGTTTTTCAGATGCTTTACAAAGCCCTTCTTTTATTTTTTCTTCTTTACAAACAGTATTATCAATTTCTTCCACTTCTACTTCAGACATTTGAGAATCAAAAACTTCTTTCCCATCTTTCATTTTTTCATCTTTCTCAGCTACTTCTTTCCTTTCTTCATTCTGTAGTTCTTCAGATGCCTCTACTGTCATTTACACATCTTTCATTCTGGCTCCAATTTTCTGTCTAAGCTCAAAGATGTCGCTTCAAATCTTTTATTGCTTCGCTATCATTCGTTGGAGTAGCTCTTGCAGCCGGTTTTTATTTCTTCTTGAGACGATTTTATTTGGCTCTTGAACTCAGCCCTCATCTTCTTCTGTCTGGCTTTCATCTCTTCTTGCTTGGCTTTTGTCTTGGCTAACAAGTCGATTAAAGCTTTCATTTCCTCAGCCAGGGCCTTCTCCCGCAGGTGGGTCACTGGTGTTCACTCACAGATCCCACTTCTGATACCAATTGTTGCATTCTATGGGTTCATGGATTTGGAATGATTGATGACAATACTTGATGAAGAATCTAAAACACAATTTATTCTTCAGTATTGCACGAGAGAAATGAGGAAAAAGAGGCAAATAAGCATGTACTAACTGCTAAAAATACCGAGATGAACTGTACACATGATGTGAATAAACTACAGAGTGGTGAGAAAACTTTTTCATATCTTCCTGTAGATGAAAATTCTGAAAGGACTGAATCTTCAGAGTGTCATGTGCAAAAAAGAAACACGTCTGGGATTGCAGTGAAAAAGTAACTAACCCGGGTATAACTTAAACTGACATTCATTCTGAACTTTCATTAATATAATTTAAAATTGTTATGTGGTTAATTTGTGTACAGTCAAAAGTCATTAATCCGGACTCGTCGGGACTTCGGCGATTCCGGATTATCGATTTTTCCGGATTATAGATCATCAGTTTAAATCTGGTAAAATGGCATGCAGAAATTATAAAATTAAAAATATGAAACCGTAATTTATGAAATAAAGAACAATTATGATCTAAAGGGTATCAAAATTTACAAAAAAAAAAGCTTAATATTTATTTGTTTACTTTATTAAACATTTCTTTCAATGTAAGTTTGTTTAAGTTGCTTTTTTGTGATAATACATTTCTTTTAATTCTATAAACAGACATAATTTCTTCTTGTTCAGTTACAAAGTTCCGCTGTTCAAGTCCTATAATTGCTGTGTCGAGAATACCGACTAATTTGTCAATCGAAATTTTTTCGTTTTCAATAACCTCTGTCACTTTCTTCGCTATCGGAAGCGAATTATAATGACGAGGGATTTGATTTAAATCATATCAAAGACGGAGTACATCGAGATGAAATACTACATTTAGTAAGCAATTATAAGCCAATAAAATAAAAACATCTGCCCTGAAGATAAGGATAGTGCTGACAGATCAACTTCCAATTCATTGCGCGCCGCGGCGTTAAGATAAACAAAAGGATATGCCTTTATCCATTTTTTTGCAGCAATTCACTTTTTGTTTAATGGACTTCGAAACATACTTTCGCTTTGTAGATCCTTTACATATTAGTAAATATATATCGGAAATTCTATTTGACATAATCGAAAGTTCAAGCTTACTTTTATAAATTGCTCTAACAGTCTGCAAAAAATAATAATCCCGGATCCAATTCGAAGATTAAGGAACAACGCAATCTGCAACATTAACTGAATAGATAATTAGATAATTTTAGCTTAGCTTATCCCGTCCGTTGTACATTAAACGCGCATTCGTAAACGTATTTTGCGCACCGCACTCAATTCGCAGCGGTAAAGGTCTTACGCGCATGCGTCACGCGACGCATGCGCAGAAAGTTTGTAGCTTTGAGGTCCGGATTATGGGTGTCCGAATTAACGACTTTTGACTGTATATAACTTGTAAATAGTGTAAATATTTGTTTCTTTATTTATCTTATTTTATTACCTTTTGTTTGTATCGAATTTAGCTTCTGTCCAAGGATTGTACTGCCCGGTACATACAGAGGGAGGGAACAGTGTTGTAAAATGCTCATCAGCCGTAAGATAGCTTCCCCGCAAAACGGGTTTTGCGGGCAAAACGGCAAGAGAAGATAGGCTTGCCAGATTTGGCACGAAATCGCTCATTTGGCGACAAAATTAGCGATAGGGTATAGACGGAGCGAGGACATTCTAGAACGAATTCTTACCGATTTCCCCCAGAATGTTCTAAGACAGATCAAAAGCTATAAATACCCTGCCTGTACAGGGATTAACAGTTTTATCGTAAAGATTATTTTGAGTTCGGGGATTAGCTCGAGAAGAATCAACCAAGTCGGAAGCTGTACTTTAGTGTTTTGTCGTGAAAGTGTCTTCACCATTGTAGCCTGAAGGCTGTGTTGCTGATTGCTTCAGCATGTTTGTCGTAGTTTTTTAATGGCTGTAAACGTGTCTCTGGAACTCTCCTGTGTAATACTGATGAATAAATTGTGTTTTTGATTCCTCACCAAGTGTTGTCATCAGTCACTCCAAATCCATGAACCCGTAGAATGCAACAGTATTATAACTTGAAAGTTACGTCGCATCTGCATATATTTTTTTTTTTTTTTAAATTTGTTTTCTGAATCTGCATTTAAATATCCAGAGAACTGTGACTAAGACAATCAAATAGAGTATAATGTTTCACTTCTTAATGCACTAGAAAAGTGATGACTT